TATGTGTGGTCTTCTGCTGCTGTAGCCCGTCTGCTTCAGATTCAGAGATGCTCTTCTGCATACCTTGATTGTAATGAGTTGTTATTTCCATTCTCCCTAAACTCTCTTTAAATTCTCTGAAACTAGAGATGGTTGTGGAGAAAAATTCCAGTAGAACATCAGTTTTTGAAATACTCAGACCTGCCTGTCTCCATGCCACAGTTCTCCATTCTGATGCTCAGTTTGTCTACATGTCCAACTGCATCAAGTTTCTGACATGTGATTGGCTGATTATGTTTGCATTAATGAGCAGTTGAACAGATGCACATAACAAAGTGCCCAGTCAGTATATAAATTACACTAAGTTAAAAGGTCAGGAAGCCATATCGTCTATTTGTTCTGCAGGAACAAGTTAAACCTAAATGGATTTGGATGTTAGATAAATCAGAAGGATGCCGGATCCTATTTTTATCTTTCAATCTCCCACCCTTCGGTACTGGCTCAACTCTGCCAGCATCTTTCTCCCTCCCTGTTAAGGCTGTTAGTTTTGACAGATTGGGCCTCATTGGTGTGAATTCCCTTCCTCCTCTTCTTCCACTCTGTTCTTTTTCTCCACCTACTTCGTCTTTTTCGGTCTCTGATTTTCAGCATTGTGCCATTTCTCAATCACGTCTCCTTCCACTGTCTCGACTACACACCTTTTACCTTCTTTTTCTGCCACCCCCTACATCTTTTTCTGCTTCTCCTCCTCTGTTGTTTGACATATAGTTCTTCCTGAACTATTTACTGCTTCCTGCATTGTCCTCCTTCTCAATGCTTTCTCATTTTATTCTCTCATATCTATACTTTCTCTTCTCGGTTCTTTTCACCTTCACTTCCCCCCTTTTTTGTTCTATCTCTTAAAAAGTTACCTCTGCTTCTTTTCCCCTCATTTTCCTTCCCTGCTTCCTTGCCTATCTTATCTCGTATCCTTTTCTTCCTCTGTTATCTGCTTCTCCTTCCCTGCAGCTCTTCCTTCTCTCCCTTTTACTCTGCTTTATCACTCTGTATCTTCGGACTCTTGCTGACACCTCACTTCGTTGGGCCACTGCAGCTGGATAAGTTTTGGCTTCTGCTCGCTGTTTACTAACCAGCTGATCCTGCTGTTTTTGCATGCAGCAGCCGGGCGATTTTGAATCAATTATTTTTAACACTGCAAAATCGACAGTTTTCTATCATGAGTGCCGGGGTTTGTAATAGGCCTCTATATGAAAACAAACTGCAAAAGCAAGCACTTACAAAGTGAAGCGTCTAATAGCTTTCAGAGGAATTAGCAAATCCAGCGAACAGGCCAATTTATCAAGACATCATTAGCATTTATGTCAAACAAAAAGTTCTGATATGTATATTATGAATGTTACAATTCCCTATATTTGCTGTCAAGAGGTTCTGATAAATCCTCTCTATGTGACGAGTTTCACCATTGCTGGGATGCATGCATCTGCCAGCAGGAGGCTCCCTCATATTTCAATATAATAATATCAAATAATATCAAAATGCTTTCAGTTTAGAGAAAGAATGAATAAATATTCCACTACAGCAGATTCTTAAGAAAAAGGTCTGCTTTGATGACTTTGTCTGCTTTCCTGTGGAGCATCATCTGCAGCACATCGTCTCCCCTTTTACCCACATCTGTAAATCTCTGTAGAGGAATCCTGTCCTATTTCTAGGATCACCAGGAGTCGATAAAAAAATGAAAAACTGTGTGAAAATGACTTGGCTCATTATTTTTTTATTACAGCGTCATGAGCCGCAGGTTCTGTGAATGATGCAATGAGCAAAAGTCAGGTTTTGTCTGTTCCTCTCTATCGGTTCATCACAGCAGCTACAAGATCTTTGGCAAAGGTAACAAACTGTGTGTGACATTTTTCAGAGGTCCCTCTTTAACTAGTCTCTAACTGCAGGATGCCACGGGCAATAAAACCAATACAACGTTACATTACATACATAACAGTAGTAATGTAATGGTGGCAATCTGGGATATGTGCAGTGACATCACCAGTGGGATCACAAGTGCTGATAGTGATAGTCAGTTTCTGTGTTTATTGTTGTTTCCTATGTTTATTATTGTCTCAATAGACGCTATAATGCAAAAAAAATGAGAGAGCTGGATTAAAAAAAAAACACGTATGTAGCAGAGACAGGGACATTTAAGTGCACCTGTTTAAAAAAATGGGACATTTTTGCAACAGCAGCACAGAAATTAATAGGAGTCATGTAGTAGTAATGTTTCTCAAATTGCTTTTGAGATAGCAAGTGTGCGCATGATGCTTATTGGGATTAATGAGACAGACCACATAGGAGCATTAATACCAACCAGATTAAGTTGGTCAGTCTGGGCAGGAATGCTAGCCTCGGGCTGAGAGAAGGCAGGTTGTTTAATCGGATCCCGTGTTTTTTTCAACTTTACTTAAACAGAAAAGAATTTGCAACCACATACATACAACTCTCCAGCTTCTCAGCCACCTAAGCAGCTTTTATCATTCCTGAGCATTTTCCTGTTCTCTTTTCTCTCTTCTTAGTTCTCCAGTCTCTCATTTTTCCCAATTGCTTCCCTTTTGAAAGATTTCCCGCGTACGATAAAAGAGAATAATTGACAGCATATGTTGGAAAATGTGTTCAGTGTCACACTCATGAGTCTGATCTCGTAGAAGCCTTGTTTCTGCAGTTTTTCATTGTGATGGTTTCACTTCAGTTGAAATAATATCTACTATCTTTGAGTTTATAAAGCCCTTCAAACTCATCAGAGTAACTTTCAAAGTACTCCTTTATCTGAGCTTAAAATGACAGCTGACATACATTACTGCATCATCTTAATCCACGCTGAAGGTTATAAATGTTTGCTGTGTGTGTGTGTGTGTGTGTGTCCCGTTTCCTCTGATGTTTAGAGCCATAATTGCACTTAGAATAAGTGAGATCATACACAGTTTTCTGCTGCTGGCACTTTTTATTCCAGCAGAAGGAAGATGTCAACATCAATGATCCCAAATGCCATTAAAAAAAACTGCACTAAATCTGTGGGTGGACTGCCTACCCTCGCACAAAAACACATCATTATCTTTCTTGTGTTTTGTGGTTGTGCTGCTGTATATTAATTTCTATTCACAACTCTATATTCCCGACTCCAAACACTCCCACGTTGCGGCGCTCACTTAAATCTGACACCTGCTAAACTTTACGGTGAACCGCTCGCGTGTTTAAATGAGTTTACCAGGCATGAAAGTTGTGCAGCAGCCATTAGAAAGTCATAAAAACAGATCCCATCACCCTGCAAGGTCTACTACTTTACCATATGGAAGACTATTTAGATGGAGGTAGATAAGCAGCCTGAGGACACTCAGGATATTCCACACAAACAATGATAATTTAAAAAGCCTCAATTCCTTCTATTTTCTTATACAGTGGTATTAGTCTTGTTAAATACTTTGCTAATTAGATGCTAATTTGTCTGCTGTTTGGTGCTGGGAAACAGCTGCCTTTTGCAATTGGAAGTGCTGATGAGAGTGGAACGGAAACTAAAAGTTGTGAGCCTTCAAATTCAAGACACTGAGCTGACGGATGAAAGTTTAGACTTTAGGGGTTGAGCCAAGACATAATTTGTGCTTCTTAGAAGAAAAAATGTCCAACTTTACAGTAGAAATTAACATTTATAGGCTGAAACAAACAATAGTTCAGGCCTTCATAGCTTTTATTGTTCTTTGATTACAACTGTACATTTTACTGGCTAATTTGTATTGAATCATACAAAATATACAAGAAGTTTGTGCTTAGTTTTTGTTATTACTCAGCACAAATGAGTAGACTGATCTTCCTACATGTTGCACCTACTGGAGCTACTTGGCCATGGAAATCAATGCCATCAAGCTCCTGGTGCAGATTTTGTGCAGATGTTAATGGCAGAGGAGCTCTGCAGTTACGGAGTGAGGAGAGTGTTGGTGACTTTTACACACTATGCGCCCCAGCAGTTGCTGTGGTTTCTAAACACGTCGTTTCTAAATGCACAATGTAAACTGGAAGAAGTGATCATTCACCACAGTGCAAAAGTTCAGACTTTTGAAATATGCTGGTAATGCACAGCTATTGCTTTAAAGGTGACGTTTTGGAGAAGTCATCAACCGGGGATACACACTTTGCCCTCGCGATCAGAGATGAATGACCGGCCTTTTGATCTTCGTAACTGAGGCTAACATCTTTCATAAAGAGCCTGAAATCCTGAAAACAACTTTGTTTCTCCCAATTTAAACCTTAGTTTATTTATCTTATACACAACATTCATTCTTGAGACAAATATTTCACCATTTATTCTTTCTAGCTTGTTGTCATCTGCTTCCTTATATTGCTAGGCAACCATACATCACCAGGAAGGAATCCATATTGTTCCGGGAAGTTCAACTCCAAGCTTTTTTCACCTCACTGACACTGCTGTTTCTCTAAAGCTGCTCAGTGTCTGTGGGGGTGTGTGTCTGTGTGTGTGTTAGAGAGCTGAGTGAAACATGGGGAGTGTGTTTTGGGGTAAAGGAATGGCTGAAAGGGGGAGCGTGTCTGTGTGTGTGTGTGTGTGTGTGTGTGTGTGTGTGTGTGTGTGTGT